CCATTTCTGAAGAAGGTTCTAGACCCGAAACATCAGCTTTCCTGCTCCTCTGATGCTGCTTGGCCTGCTGTGTTCATCCAGCTCTACACCTTGTTATCTCAAATTCTCCTGCATCTGCAGTTCCTATTATCTCTGGTAGTTAACTGTTCCCTGGTGCATTTTCTATGGCGATGTCCCGACCAATCAGAATCCATTCGTCAATCAATTAGCAGTATTAATTGTTGTTTCCTCTGCAATTTGGTATTTTGTGATTCTGTCCTGATGAGCACAAGATGAAAAACTTTAACAGCATGCCTTTTTTCTCACAGCTAAACTGGAACGTTTCTTTAGTGAAAAGATCATAGAAGGCTAGAACTCTCTTCTGCAAATGGCCATTGATGCTATATCAATGGTCACATTTAAAACTGATATCAATAGATTTTTGTTAACCAACAGCATTAAGGGTTATGTGATGAAGGTGAGTCTATGGAATTAAGTCGCAGATCAGTCCACTAACACTTCATTAGCCTCCCTAATAGCTTGCTACACTTGCCTTCGGTGAATTATCAACAAGCATGTCTAGAATTCTTTGTACCTCGATACTTTCCAACCTCTTACCACTTAAGAAATACTCTGCACATCTGTTCCTTCTACCTCACATTTCTCCACAATATATTCCAAATGCCACATTCAGCCCTACTATGCTTTACATCTTCCTCACAACACATATTCCCAGTTAGCTTTGTATCATCTGCATGTGGAAATATTACCATTGGTCCCCACATCCAAATCATTGATAGCTGGGGTCCAAGTACTGATCCCACTAGTCACAGCCAACCAATGTGACAATGACCCTTTTATTCCTACTCTCTGTTTTATGCTAGTTATCCAATCCCTAATCCTTGCCTGTACATTACCTCCTATTATATGTTTTAGTTTTGCTAATTAACCTCCTGTGGGGACACTTAACAAAAGCCTTTTGAAAACCCAAATATACTACATTTACCAATTTTGTTGGTAACATCCTCAAAAAGCTCAAAAACAAAGTTCACCAGATGTTATTTCCCAATTAGAAATTCATGCTGACTATGCCCAATCATATAAATAAAACAAAGAACTGTGGATGCTGGAAATCTGAAACAAAAACAGAAGTTGCTGGAGAAACTCAGGCCAGGCAGCATATGTGGAGGGAAAGAAGAATTGATGTTTTGGGTCTGGTCGCCCTTCTTCAGAAGGACTTATCACAAGTTTTGAATGACCTTAAGTTTACTGATGGTTGAATGTGGTTTGGAGTAATCAATTTTGGAGATAGCAAAGGCATAGATGAGGATTTTAGCAGCAGACGAGCTGAACTAAAACAGAGTCTGACAATGTCACTGAGGTGGAAATAGATAGTCTTCGTGATGGATTGGATATTTGGTCACAAGCTCATCGCCACTTCCAATATGATGCCCAGGCTAGTAAACAAGCTGGCTCATCTTCAGACAGATGCCAGTAAGAAGGATGAAATGGGTAGCTGGGGAAAAATGTTTAAGGGGACTGTGGTTTCAGTTTTATCAATATTTAAATATGTGCATAAAAATAAGCAGTGTTGGAAGCACCAGGCTGGCCAGAGAGCTTGTGTGGAGAGGACTGAGTGAACAATTGAGAGAGCCCTGCCAGCAGGAGAGGAGCGGTTATGCACCAAGTTAATATTTCAGGTGAGTGACCTTCCATTGGAACTGGATCATTTCAGACAGCAAATATTACACACAAGTGCAAAGCTACAGCAAAGCTGGTGAGGAAACAAAGGGATCAGTCTGGAAGGCAGTTTGGGAGGGGTACCGACTGCCAACTTGACAGGATCAGAGGGCTATCCACAGCTTAGCCCCACATCCACCCATACGATGGGAAGGCCTAAACACAGCTCGTTCCCTAAAGGATGACAGGGCTAGTTACAGTTTGCCTCCTGCTGATTGGGAGGATTATTCACAGCTCACCCCCCTAAAGGATGGGAGAGTTACCCACAGACCCCGACAAAATGGGAGACTTACATTCTTTGCCTTATGATCTCTGTATTTCTCTTTTTACAGAGCTCACAGTCTTCTTTAAAATGCACATTTCTAGAGCAATTTTGATACAAAATTTATTCCCAAAAGTTAATCACAACTTTTCAGAAAATGCAAATACAAATGGCTAAAGTTATTCTGATGATTAAAGCGCATTCAATAAGAATAAACCAATTCCTCACTTACCACAACATCCTAATACCAGTCTCATAGTCATGGTGACATAGAGTCATACAGCACAGTTACAGACCCTTCACTCCAACCAGTTCACACCAAACAGAATCACAAACTAAACTGGTCTCACTTACCTGCTCCTGGCACATATCCCTCCAAATCTTGCTGCTGGAAAAGCTCAGCAGGTCTGGCAGCATCCGTGAAGGAAAAAACAGACTTAATGTTTCGGGTCCAGTGACCCTTCCTCAGAACTCTGCTTTTTCCTTCACAGATGCTGCCAGACCTGCTGAGCTCTTCCAGCAGCGTTGTTCCTGATTTACAGCATTTGCAGTTCTTTTGGTTTATATTCCTTCCAAATCTTTCCTATTCATGTACTTATCCAAGTGTCTCTTAAATGTTATAATTGTGCTCACATCTACCACTTCCTCAGGAAGTTCAATCCACACGCTAACCACTCTCTGTGTATGGCCGATCCAGACAGGCATTCACCAAGGCAATTGGCAAGCCTGACACTAATGCAGTGTGGAGTTAATACACATTCAATCACTTGGCAGAAACTTTGAGAAGATGCATAACAACCAGACTTACATTGGAAGCTTGAATGGGGGTGTAAGCAGGAGGAGCATAAGGTGGAGGAACCTGAAAATACAAAAACAATCAGAAATCAGGATTTAGGGACAGACAGGAAGGTATGCCATCAATAGGACAGCAAGAAATACTTGCATTTATAGTGTGTCTTCGACATCATAACATTTATAACAAACCAAAGAATGAGACACTAGAAATAAAAACAGACATTGCTGGAGACTGTCAGCAGATCTAGCAGCACCTGTGAAGAGAGTTAACATTAGGCCCAGAATGACTCTTCTTCAGAGCTGTTTTGAAACATTAACTCTGTTTCTCTCTCTCTGCAGGCCTGCTCAGTTTCTCCAGCATCTCCTGTTTCTCTCTCATTACAGAGCTCCAGCATTCACAACATTTTGCTTTCATGAAGAACCCATTAGGATAGGGACATTGTCAAAGAGCCAGACTTTACGGAGTGTGGCAACGGCAGTTAGAGAAGGGCAATAAATGCTGGCTTAGCTAGCAATGCCTGCATCATGTGAGAATCGCCATTTTATGCAAAGGAAGAAGGGTGAGCTAGAGATGTGGAGAAGTTTTAGGAGTGACTTCCAAAGTGGAAAGTTCAGACATCGATGGTGGAGAGACTAAAATTGGGATACACAAAAGGCCAAAAATGAGATGTGCAGTTATCTCAAAGGGTAACAGGTCTTGATAAGAGGTAAAGGGATGAAGCTATTGAAGGATTTAAACATGAGAGATGAGCATTCTAACTTGCAAGGCCAGGAGCTGATGTAGGTCAGAAAGCACAGGGGTTCTGGGTGAATGAGGACATGTATGATTAAGACCCAGATAGCTGAGATCACGATATGGCTAATTTTGTGATCAGTGGGACGGAATTCCAGAGCTTTGGAACTTGATGGCTGAATATATGGCCACCAATGGTAGACAAAGGAACTGTAAATATGCGAGAGACTAGTGTTGAAGGAATGCAGAGATCTGAGAGAGTCATAGGCTACAAGGATAGGGAAGGAAAAGACTATAAAAGGATTGAAATGCCAGGATGGGAATTTTAAAAATAAAGTCACTCGGTGACTAATGGCCAATATTGGTCAGCAAACAAAGGGTTGTTTGGTGATCAGGACTTTGTGCAAGTTAAAATGCAGAAATCTGGAAGGAAAGCCTCATATCGTGGAATTTCATGGCAGTTAAATCAGAAATAGGAGGCAAAGCTTGCATTTGACAAGATTCTTGATCAAAACCAGAAAATATGAAAGACTAGAAAGCAAAACATCAAAGATTCTGGAAATCCAAAATTAAAACAGAAAATAATTTTCCATTAGGGGGAAGGGCGGGAAAGTGGATATGAGGAGTATTGTATCAACCACAATCCTATCGAATGGCCGAGCAGGTTCAGGGGCCAAACGGCCTACTCCTGTTCCCGTTTCTTATGGTCTTAAGGTCTATGCAGTTCAAAACAAGAGTCATATAACTCTGTGTGGAGTTGGAGCAACACACCAGGCCAGCAGACCCTTCCGAAGAAGGGTCCAACCCGAAACATCAACTTTCCTGCTCCTCTGATGCTGTCTGGCCTGCTGTGTTCCTCCAGCTCCACACTGTATTATCTCTGACTCCAGCATCAGCAGTTCTTACAATCTCTCAGTCATATAACTCTGTTTCTCTTCCCACAAATACTGATAGTCCCGTGAGTTCCTCCTGCACGTTTTTTTAATTGAAAATGTTTTGTTTCTTCTTAAATTCTCCTTAAACCTTCTACATTTGTTTTGCTCCTGACCGTTCCTCCACCAGAAAGAAAGGGAACCTTCCTCCCAATCACATGCCCCAATCTCCCTCAAGTCTCCTTCAGTGTCATTTTGAAGCAGGTTCCTGAAAGGTGCCCAAAAAGATGCCATTCCCTTTCCCCCAATCCCTTGGGCAATCAATAATTTCCACTAGACTCCTCTTTACTGTTTAGCCATCGCAACCTATCCATCCAATGAATGCCTACAGTGCTCTCACTGCAGCATCCAATAGTGTCTTAAATACAGTCCAACTGATGACTGCTCATAGTCTAGTTTATATGAAGATGTGTCAAATTTAATCCACATTCGGGTAAAGCTATCAACAGTCACACGGAAGCAGCCACCCACCAGTCATGGTCATGCCTTGGGCAGGGATACAGAAATTCAGTCTAAGGTTTTGATGCTCCAGTAGGCCTCACCATCTAATTCACCCTTCACCTTTCCCGCCATTACCCCACCTGCAGAGTAAGGGAAATTGAGACTGGAAGACCATCATTGAAATGAAAGTCGTCTTTCAAATTTACACTGGTCTTGTGGCATGGTTAGGAAGATTTTCAATCAGATTTTAATCAGCAGCTCAATCAGTGTCAGAACTCAAACCATGCTCCAACTAAACTACTCTCTGCCTCCCTGTCCTTTCTTGCACTTGGCAAATGCCAAAAAACTACTTACATTTGGATTTCTGAAGGTGAGAGCATTCACATGGACATCTCCTGAAATCACGAGCGTATCCACTCTATTGTAGGACAGCCTGTGACAATACTCAACGAAATGCTGACCATTTACAGATACCTTTGTGAGGGAGAAAAAGTTCATGTTACTTATTAAATTTCAGGCTCTTCAATCTCCACCTAGGTGTTATTCAGTGTTAACAGAACAGAAACAGGTCATGTTTTTGTTCTGCATGAACTCCAACCTACTTTACTTCATCTTACCCAAGCAACATATCCTTCTTTTCCTTTCTCCTTCATACAGTTATACATTTCATGTTATTCACCTCAACCACCCACTGTGGCAGCAAGTTCCATTTCCTCACCACTCTTTGGTGAAGAAGTTTATCTTGAATTCTTCATGAGATTTATTAATCCCATCCCCTCCCGCCTCTTTACAAGATTACACTTAATTCCCAAGATTCAGGATTGAAGTCCTGTAGGGTTCTGGCTAAATGTTGATCCCATCTGACAGATGCTGTCCATTCAGCCTGACACAATGATACCATCTCTTTAACCACGACCTCATTCCAACTTGCCTTGCCTGAGTTTCGAGTGGCCAATTCCAGGGGGACAAATTCATGGGGGATTTTGTCACATGAACCCCATAACTCATTCCACCCCTGCTTTCACATGCCTATTGATCACCTGACATGTCCATCCTTAAAAGCCCTTCCCCAACATTCCAATTGGAAAAAAAAACAAACTGGATGACTCTTGACTGGCAAACTGCACTTTCTAAAATCCACTACTAAAATCCAATTACCTCTAAAATTAGTAAACAAACAAAACAAAGAAAATGTCTTATAAAATACAATTACTTTATAGCCTGTGATTTTTTTTCTGATTGGTTTGCTCACTGCCTAGTGCCTTGAGATTAGACCAGGCCATTCCTACAGAGTTAGCAACATTGTGGTGCATTCTCTGTAATTTTGGAACACAAAGCAGCTTAAAGGAACCCAATATGGGATCTGGCTCTCTGGTCACCTCAACACTGGGTTTGAGTCACATTGGCCAGGCAGCTACTTACAGAACAATGAAATAAGATAACTGGGCCCTCTTCCCATAGAGTCAATAAGTTTTTTTCATACCTGAAAACAGTAACTACGCACGTGGAAGATCAGTTCAAAGTAAGAGCCAGTGGGGATGGGTATCTGAGGCTTCCTCTGTTCTGTTCCCCAACATTCACGCTCCAATGTGTTACAGACCACAGTCCCCTCATCATAACGCACATTGAAGTGAAACGCAATATCAGAACGTGGCTTCACAATGCTGCCACACTGGAAATCCACTCCAAACCTACAAGGCAAAAAGATGGATGCAGATGCAGTCACACTTCTAACATGGCTCCCAGCATCCTGGGAATGGCAGGAGTCACCAGTATTGCTGGTCAGCACATTCACTCAACAGCAGATTATACATAAGGGGTCCCTGAGGCTGATTATTATCAAAAGGCAAGGATGGGGTGGTCATTGTGGTGGGAGGGTGGGAGGATCGTAGAGTCTTACAACATGGAGACAGGCCCTTCAGCCCACCATGTCTATGCTGACCAACAAACACCAAAAAATACTGGATTGCCCATTTACCTCACTTTGTCCATAGCCTCCAATGCCGTAGCATTTTAAGTGTTCATCCCAATGCATCTTGAATGATGTAACAGCAGCTCCCTCCACCACCACTTCAGGCAGCACGTGCCATATTTTCATCATCCCCTAGTGAAAAGGTTTTCCTCAGATCTCATCTAAACCACATGCTCTTCATCTTAAGCTAATGCCCTCTAGTCTTAGACGCATCTGCCATGGAGAAAAGATCCTTATGATATACCCTGTCTATGCTTCTCATAATTTCGTATACCTCAACCGGAATTCCCTCTCAGCCTCCTCTGCTCCAGGGAAAACAAACCCAGCCTATCCAGTCACTCCTCGTAAGTAAGATTTTCCATCCTAGGCAACATTCTGGTAAATCCCCTCTGCAGGCTCTCTGGTGCTATCACAACCTTCTGATTGTATGGTGAACAGAACTGCACAAGAGTTCCAAATGTTCCAATGAACCCAATCAAATGTTTTATAAAGCTATAACAAGACTTCTTTGCTCCTGTATCTCCACCCCACCTAATGAAGGCAAACATCCTGCATGCCTTCTTCACCATCCTGTCTGCCTGTGCTGACACCTTCAGGAATCTGTAGATTTGTACACCAAGGTCCCTGTGTTCCTCAGTACTTCCTAGGCACCTACCATTCATTGTGTATATCTTTCATTTATTAGACCTCCACACTTACTGGGATTAAATTCCATCTGTCATTGCACTGCCCAATTTACCAGCTGATCAATGTCAAACCATAGCCTAAGACCATTTTGCTTGCTATTGACAATACCACCATTTTTTCTGTCATCGGCAAACTTAGTAATGATGTCTTCTAATTTGGATCCTAGTTGTTCACATACATAACAAACAGTAAAGGTCCCAGCACTGATCCCTATGGTATAATTTGGGAATGTGCTATTTCTCAAGGTTGGTGGGGGGAGGGTGCACAATGGTGTCCTATTATTTAAAACGCAGAGGAAATCCTGGGAGCGTACTATTAACTGTAGAGTGTTTCCTCTGGGAGTGTCCTAACATTTGAAGTGCTCTATCTGGGACAGTGCTATTATTTGAAGGAGAAGTTCACCGAGGGTGTCCTATTCCTTGATAGGGGTTCTGTAGGAACATGCTATTATTTGAATGTGGAAGAGGATTCCTGAGACCATACTGCAGATGTAGGGTTGGAGAATGGAAGTGTGGTATTATCTGAAGAGGGTTCATGGGAGAATGCAATTGGCCTCACCAATTTACATGACACAATAAGTAACATTCATTAGAACGTACAGGAACATAAGACAAGAGTAGGCCATTCAGCCCCTCAAGCCTGCTCCACCACTCAATAAGATCACGGTTGATCTGTGACCTAACTCCATATGCCTGTCTTGGGCCCACATCCCTTGATAGCGTTGCTTAATAAAAAATTGTCTACCTCTGATTTAAATTTAACAATTGGATTAGCATCGCCCACTGTTTGAGGGAAAGAGTTCCAAACCTCAGTTACTCGTTGCACGTAGAAGAGCTTTCTAACATTCCTCCTGAATGATCTGACCCTAATTCTGAGACTATGCCCTGATTCTGTCACACAAGTGATAGGAAATATCCATCTCCAATTAGGGAGAATTTAACTACCATCCTGTGACATTCAATGACATTACCATATCTGAATTCCCCGCAATCAACAACCTGGAAGTTACCATTCTAGAAATTGAACTAGACTAGCCATATAAATACAAAGGCTACAATAGCAGGTCAGAGACTGGGAATCCTGCAGCAAATAACTTACTGCCTGACTCCCTTGTCTGTTCACCATCTATAAGACACAAGTAAGGAGTGTGATGGAATACTCCCCACTTGCCTCGATGAGTGCAGCCCCAACCATGCTCAAGAAACTTCACACCATCCAGGACAAATCAGCTTACTCGACTGACATATATTCACAAAAGCCCCTCTGTCCCTGGCATTCAGTTGCAGCAGTGTGTATCATCTACAAGATACATTGCAGAAATTCATCAAAGATCCTAAGACAGCGCCTTCCAAACCCATGACCACTACCATCTAGAAGGACAAGGGCAACAGATATATGGGAACACCCCACCTGCAAGTTCCCCCCCAAGAAACTCAACATCTTGATTTGGAAATATATCACTGTTCCTTCAGTGTCATTTGGGACAAAATCCTGGAACTCCATCCTTCATGATACTGTTGATCTATGGCACATGGACAGCAGTGATTCAAGAAGGTAGCTGGCCACCACTTTCTCAAATGTAACTAGGGACAGGCAATAAATGTTGGCCAGCCAAAAATGCACACATCAGGCAAGAGAGTAAAAACCGGAACAGAAATAGGCAAAAGGCTTACCAAGTCTGGTCTGCTATTGAATGAGATCATGGCTGATCTTATAATCCTCAAATCCATTTTCTTGCCTGTTCTCTGTAAAGGTTTCAAAGCTCCAGCATCAGGCTTTGGAGCTTGAGCAGTGGCTGGAGTCACTATGGTGTGCCCATGAGACAGAGAATTATGTGGTTAGTGTATTTAGAGTAATGGCCACAACCACAGCGTTGGAAGCGGGCAGGCAATTAGGAAATGAGTGGCCACCAGGCAATCAAAGAGGTACATTCTTCAAAGAGTTCCCTCAAAAGGGAGAGGTAGGGTAAACCTACCAGATCTCCCTGGACAAAGCAAGTGATAGAGAGTAAGATAAAGAACATGTGTCATGTAAATAATTCAGTTGAGAGCCAAGAGTGATACAGAAGGCTCAGAGGGAGGTGATGAAACAAATCAGAGTAACAATGTGTGGTTATGGAAAAGACTAACAACTAATATAAAAGAAAATACAAATGTCATCAATCAATATATTAATAGTCAAGGGATAGTAAAATGTAGGGCCAATTAGAGACCAAAAGGCAGAGTGTTTAAATGAGGTTTAAATGAATATTTTCCTTAAAATTAATTCATGGGATGTAGGCTTCACTGACTTAGTGTGATAATTATTCCCAATTCCTAGTTGACCTCAAGAATGCTGTGGTGAGCTGCCTTCTTGAACCACTGTAGTCCATTTGGTACAGATAGACCCACAATATCAACAGGAAGGGAATTTCAGGAATTTGACCCAGTGACAGTGAAGAAATGGCAATGTATTTCCAAGTCAGGATGGTGAGTGATTTGGAGAGAAACTTACTGCAGGTTGGGGGTGTTCCCGTGTATCTCCTGCTCTTGTCCTTCTAGATGATAGTAGTCTTAGGCTCAGAATTGTAATTGGTGAATTTCTGCAGTGCATCTTATAGATGGTACACACTGCTGCTAATGTGTGTCGGTCGCAGAGGGAGGGAATGTTTGTGGATGTTGTGCCAATCAAGTGAGCTGCTTATTCTGGATGGTGTCAGGCATCTTGAGTGTTTTTGGAGCTGCACTGACCCAAACAAATGCTCCGTATTTTATCACATTCCTTATTCTGCTTTGTAGATGGTGGACAGGCTTTGGGAATCAGGAAATGAATTGCTTATGGCAGGATTCCAAGCCTATAATCTCCCCTTGTAGCCATTGTATTAATATGCCTAGTCCAGTCCAGTTTCTGGTCAATGGTAACCCCCCGGATGTAGATAAGGGAGGAATTCAGTGATGGTATTGCCATTAAATGTCAAGGAGTGATGGTTAAATTCTCTCATTGGAGATTGTCATTGCCTGGCACTTGTGTGGAATAAACGTTACTTGCCAATTGTCTGTCCAAGCCTCAATATTGCACAGGACCTGCTGCATTTTTCAATGGACTGCTTCAGTACGTGAATGGTGCTGAACACTGCACAATCATCAGTGAACACCTCACTTCTGACCTTATAATAAAGAGAAGGTCATTGATGAAGCAGCTGAAATGGTTGGGCCTAAGAAAATATCCAGAGGAACTCCTGCAGAGATGTCCTGAAGTTGAGGTGACTGACTTCCAAAACTACAAATATATCTTTTGTGCCAGCTAGAACTTCAAACCAGTGGAAAGGTCTCCCCTCCACCCACCGATTCCCATTGACTCTAGTTTTGCAAGGCCTACTTAATGCTATACTCGGTCAAATGCTGCCTTGATGTCAAGGCAGTCAGTCACAACTCATCTACTGAGCTCAGCTCTTCTGACCATGCTTGAACTGAGGTCAGGAGCTGAGTGGCCTCTGGTGCAGTCCAATCTGAGCATCAGTGATGAGGCTACTGCTAAGCTGGTTGCGGGGGGGCCAGAGTTGGGGTGGGGCACTTACTGGCTAGGTTGGATTTGTCCTTCATTTTGTGTATAGGACATACCTGGGCAATTTTCCACATTCTAGGGTTGATGCCAGTCTTGTGGCTGTCTTAGAAGAGCTTGGCAATGGGAGCTGCAACTTCTGGAGCACAGTCTTCAGTACTACTGCCACAATGTTGCCAGGGCCTACATTCTTTTCAGTGTCCAATGCCTCTTAGCATTTCTCGATATCATATGGAGTGAATCAAATTGTCTGAAGACAGGCACATATAATACTGGGAACCTCAGAAGGAGGCCAAGATGGATCATCCAATTGATACTTCTGGCTGAAGATTGTTGCAAATGCTTCAGATGTATCTTTTGCTCTGATTTGCTGGGCTCCCCATTGTTGTGGAACCACTTCCTCCTGTGAGTTAATTAATTGTCTGCCACCTTTCAGAACTGGATATAGCAGGAATATAGAGCTTAGATCTGATCTGCTGGTTTAGGAATTGT